GGTGCCCGCGACCGCCCCGCACCTGCCGGTAAGGGCCGGGGAGCGGGGGATGCTCGGGGCCGGGGGATGCCGGCGCCGCGGGGGGGACCGGCGCCGGGAGGATGCGGGGATGCTCGGGGGGATGCAGGGCTCCGGTGCCGCAGGGGAGCCTGGGCAGGATGCAGGGATGCCTGGCAGGATGCAGGGATGCCCGCGGAGGACGCAGGAGTGCCCGGGGCCGCAGGGGTGCCCAGCAGAGCCCGGAGGGTGCCGCGGAGAGCGGGAGCGCTCGGGGGATGCCCTTGGTGAGGGGCGTTGTGGGGTGTGCGGGGTTTGCGGGGTGTGGGTGGTGCCCCGCAGCGCAGAGGGATGGGTGGGCTGTGGAAAGGGTCCCTTGTGCCCAGGGGCTGCTCCGAGTGTGCTCCAGGACCCTGGGATGGGACAGGCACCGGTTCTGCCCAGCGATGAGGGAACAGCCCCCTCCTGCTGCCCGGGGGCTGCAGCCCCACAGGGACCTGCAGCAGGAGTCCCCGGCTGCGGGGCTGCATCCCCGTGAGCCTGGCGAGGGTCCTGGGGGTGGCACGGGCTGGCAGCACGGGCTGGTGACGGCCAGGCTGCCCGTGGAATGCTCTGGAAGCACGTGAGCGTGTGCACGTGTGTGTGAACGTGCTCTCGAGGTGTGCAGGGTACCCCAGGGCTGCCCTGCCGGGGGTGCCGGGACACGGGGCTTTGCCCTGGGAACACCGGGAGCACCGCAGCGGGGCTGGGGGCACCCGAAACCCCCGCTGCCAGCCCATGGAACGCAGTGGCACCGCCACCCCCGGGACACTGGGCTCCCTCCCCAGCACGGCCCTGCCATCTCCAGGCTCAGGTTTGGGTTTGTTTGCTTCCATCCTCCCCTCCTCGGGGTTCTGGGAGGTAAGCGGGGAGCCGGGCTGGATGCGGGGGGCTGGCAGCAAAGCCCAGGTGGCGCAGGGAGGGGGCCGGGGCTGCGGGCCCTGCTCGCCCCGCCGCCGGTGGAGCGCTGTCGGTCCGGCCGGTTGTGCGGAGCCGCGGGCTCTCCCGAGCAGCAGATGTGACGTTCACGAACACAGCGGGTGCTCGCGGTGAGGTGCCGGGCTGAGGGGCGGCATCCCCCGGCTGAGCCCCCCACGGGCTGCCCAGGGATGTCCCCGCGGCGCAGGGACGCGGCCCCTGGCTGTCCCCGGCACCCCTCGGGACTCCCCCTCCGGCCAGCGCCCACCCCTCGCCCTGGCTGTGCCCTGGGAACCTGCCCTATTTAAATAAGATAACGTGCATTAAAAACACCGAATCCTGGCGAGCTGACAGCGTCTGTCTAAATATTTATCCCTGCTCCGATCAGGCGCTGTGTTCCCATGACGGCGCCATTAGCACTTGGCATATTTATGGCCTTCCTGGGTGCTGGGCTCCCCATGCTGCGTGCCCAGGGGCCACTGAGCCCCTCTTGTGTGCCCTCTGTGCCTTCCCGTGCAGCCAGGGGTGACCCCAGGGCTGGCAGCCCTCTCCAGCCCGGCACATCCCCGCGGGCCGTGCTGGAGCTGCCAGGAATATCCCGAGCTGGGCAACGCGGGGAGCGGGAGCCACTTTTGTCCCCCGCAGCGCAGGAGCCGCAGTGCCACGAGGGAGCAGCCTGATCCCCAAAAAACATCTCCTGCTCCTCCTTCTGCCCCCGGGCACCGAGGGCCTGGGTACCCGCGGGCAGCGGGGGATGGAGCAGGGATGCTCCAGCTCCTGCACCTGCGACCTGGCCTTGCGGGGGCTTCGTGCTCGGGGGACAGCCAGCACGTCCCGCTGTCTGGGGGGGTCCCGGCGCTCAGCCCTGCTCCCCGCGGAGGTTTCGGGGGGCTCAGGGCTGTGTCTGGGAAAGGGCTCGCTCGGAGCCGCGGGGCGGCTCAGCGCGGCTCTCCCCGGTGCCGCCGCTCTGGCAACGCAAACAAAACCCTCGCGCTCAGCTGAGCCGCCTGGGCACCCGCCGCTGCCAAAATCTGCTTTTCGATTCCCCAGGGTGCCGGCGCTGCGTTTAACCCTGAGCTCGGATGTGTTTGGGTGGCAGCTCACCAGGAGCTCACCAGGAGCTCACCAGGAGTTCACCAGGAGTTCACCAGGAGCTCACCAAGGGCTCACCAGGAGCTCACCAGGAGCTCACCAGGGGCTCACCAGGGGCTCACCAGGGGCTCACCAGGAGCTCACCAGGAGTTCACCAGGAGCTCACCAGGAGTTCACCAGGAGCTCACCAGGGGCTCACCAGGGGCTCACCAGGGGCTCACCAGGAGCTCACCAGGAGTTCACCAGGAGCTCACCAGGAGTTCACCAGGAGCTCACCAGGGGCTCACCAGGAGCTCACCAGGAGCTCACCAGGGGCTCACCAGGGGCTCACCAGGGGCTCACCAGGAGCTCACCAGCAGCGCTGGCTGCAGCAGGGGCAGTTCCATGGGGCCGGGGGGCTGTGCTGCCCTGTCCGGGCCTCTCCGAACGCTCCAGAACCGGAGAAACCGGAGAAAGAACGGGCAGAAGTGCCTGAGCGTGGCTCCCAGGAGGATCCGTGCTGCCTCTCGCCCGGCCCCTGCGGGTGCCAAAGGGGTCCGGGCTGCCATCCTCACCCCGCCAGTGCCGTGGCCGTGCCGGTGCCATCCCCGGCGCAGCCCGGTGCTGGCAGGTGCCCGGGTGGCTCCCAATCTCCTCTTCCCTGCCCGCAGGGATGCACCGTGCCCTCCCCGTGATGCCGCCCCACGCAGCCGCCCTGTGACACGGCCCCTGGCTCGGGGGTGAGCCGGCAGCCGTTCGGGATCCCCGGTGGGGACCGGCTCTGCAGCCACCGCCCTGTTTGCTCGGGCACCGGCCTCACCCCTGCGGGCAGAGCGAGAGGCGGAGCCGGCCGCTGGCCCCACGCTGGGGCACACGAGGTAGGAGGGACACGGGGCACCGCCGCGCACGTCCCCGATGGGCACCAGGCTGGCCAGAGGGGTTGCCCCCATGTCGCCTTTCTCTGGGTCTCGCGCTGCCCCGGGCAGGGGAGCGGGGCACGGTACGTGGGGCTGGGTGGGCTCAGCTGTGCTTGTGGTCCCTCTGGAGTACCAGACCCCGTGTGTGTCCCCAGAGATCCCAGAGATGGCCTTCCAGCGGAGCCACCGGCTGAACCTGCTGCGCCTCGTCGTGCTGCTCCTCGTGGCCTTGGCTGGCATCAAGTTCCTCTTCCGTGACAGGTGAGGTGACAGCAGGACCCCAGCGGGGCCGGGGTGTGTGGCACTCCCTGGGCTGTGCTTCTGTGGTGCCTGGTGCTGGGGGCAGCTGGTGCCCCCATAGCCCCACGGACACCCCCATCCCTGCCCCACTCCCTGCAGCTTTACCCTGGAGCTGCACAAGCACGTCAGCAAGGACAGCGGCTTCTGGGGGGACACAGGTGACGTCGTCCAGGACGTCATCCCCCAGAGCCAGGTTCTGGAGGTCCCTGCGGCAAAGATAATGACCCTGAAGCAAAAGCAGCAGGTCCCCAGGGATGTCAGTGCCACCGAGATGAGGCTGGTCCACCTGGACCTCAAGGGAGCCGCGCCCAGAGTCTCCTACCTGGAACAGGTGAGGATGCCCAGGGACAGGGAGGAGGGGATGCACTGATGGGGCTCGGCCCCTGCTGACACCTGCACTGTGCCACCCCCACTGCTGAGCCCACCCTGCCCACCCTGCAGGTGTTCCCCCTCCTGTCCCAGCTGGGAGCCAACGGCATCCTCATCGAGTACGAGGACATGTTCCCCTTCAAGGGAGAGCTGGAAATCCTCAGGTCCCCGTACGCTTACAGGTGAGCAGGGCTGTGTGCCGAGCTGGCTGTGAGGCTCGTGGCCCCTGCAGGTCGTGGTGTGCCAGGGGCTGGGTGTGACCCACCTGGCACTGTGCCCATGATAACCACGGTCAGAGTGCCAGGCCGTGCTGCTGGGCAGACCAGCAGGAGTTCCTGCCCTGACAGGTCAATGTCTGTGCTTCTCAGTAAAGTGCACACATTTGTGGGGCAACAGGGGCCATGTGGGAAGAGGCTAGAGGAGGGGGAAGTGCCCCCAAGCTCTGCCCTCTGCCCTGGCATCCCTGCTGAGCCTGTCCCTGCCCTCCCAGCGAGGAGGACATCGAGCGGATCCAGCAGCTGGCGGAGCAGCACAAGCTGGAGGTGGTTCCCCTGGTGCAGACCTTTGGCCATGTGGAGGTAGAGGGTCCCAGCCCTGCTCCCCATCCCAGATCTCAGGGGCTCCCCTGGACACCCCCTGATGGCTCCTCCCCGCAGTTCATCCTCAAGCACGAGAAGTACCAGCACCTGCGGGAGGTCGAGCGCTTCCCCAACAGCTTCAACCCCCACGTCCCCGACACGCTGGCCCTGCTGAAGAGCATCCTGTCTCAGGTGGTCGAGAAGCACCGCCGCTCCACCTGGATCCACATCGGTGCAGACGAGGTGGGCAGGGGCTCTGCAGGGACCCCAGCCCTCTCCCCAGGCACTGGGGGTGCTCCCAGGGCTGCTGAGCATCTCCCTTCCCCCAAACTTCCCAGGTTTTCCATCTCGGGGAGGGGATGGACTCCAAGAACTGGATGAGCCACAACAAGGGCGACGTGGGGACCATGTACCTGAAGCACATCAAGGAGGTTCTGGGCTTCCTCACGGCGCAGTACTGGGGGCTGCGGGTGCTCATGTGGGACGACATGCTGAGGAAGATCAGCGTGGGAGCCCTGCGGGGTGAGGCACAGGGCCGGCCGTGGTGGCACCAGTGCCAGGCTCCTCAGCCGCGCCCGCTCTGTGCCCGCCCTGGCAGGCATCGCTCCCAGTGCCGGCAGGAGCCCATGCCTTGCCCTGGGGGAACGTGGGTCTCGTGGGGGAAGCGTGAGGAGCCCGAGGCTCCCTCCTGCTGCTGGCACCAACGTCCCCTCTGCTGTCCCCGCAGAGTCCGGCATAGCGAAGCACGTCTCACCCGTGGTGTGGTTCTACGCGCCCGACTTCGAGGCCGAGCAGATCGGTAAGGCGACGTGCCAGGCCCCTGGGGGCGGTGGGGGGATCCCCCCCGAGCCCCCCGCAGCCTCCTGGGGACAGTGGCACTGGTGGCTCGCGCCTGTCCCTCTGCAGTGCCGTTCCTCACCAAGTACGTGGAGAGCGGCTTCGAGGCCGTGTGGTTCGCCAGCGCCTTCAAGGGCACCACGGGGCCGGCGCAGGCCTGGACCCCGCTCAGCTACCACCTGAAAAACCACCTGAGCTGGCTGAAGGTGATGCAGGCCGTGCCACGGCTGGCCCCGCTGCGCTTGCAGGGCGTCGTGCTCACCGGCTGGCAGAGGTAAGGGGAGGTGGGACCCCCATGTCCTCCCGGTGCCCACAGAGCCGTGCTGGCACGGTGGTGCCTGTTCCTGTCCCTGTCCCTGTCCCTGTCCTGCAGGTATGATCACTACTCGGTGCTCTGTGAGCTGCTGCCTGTCAGCATCCCCTCTCTGGCCATCTGCCTGCAGACCCTGGTGAACGGTGAGCCCCCAGCCCTGCCGGCATGGCCGGGCTCACCCCCCTCCCACTGCCTGCCAGACCCCGTCCTGCTGGGCAGGGCACCGGGGCAGGTGGGAGCCAGAGGAGGAAGAGCTTCAGCTCACTCAGTTGAAGTTGGGCTGAGCCTGATGGTGAGCTGTCCCAAGCTCTTCTGTCCCTTTCCTCGCCCTCCCAGGGGGCTTCACAGAAGAGGCAAAGAGGAAGGTCCTGGATGTGCTGGGCTTGGAGAGCGTGCAGCTGGAGCAGAGCACCTGGTGCGTGGCACGGGGTCGGGCAGTTGCATCAGAAGGGATGCACTGGAGGGAGGCAGGGGCTTGGTCACCCAAATGCCCTGGTCCCAAACCTGCCAGGGGGCTGGGGTTCACCCAGCCCAGTGCCCCCCACGTGCTGAGCCCTCACCTTCCTCTCCCTCTCCCCAGCGAGGGCAGGGGAGCGTTCCCCGGTGTGGAGATCTACCACATGGTGGAGCAGGTTAATGGCCACCTGAAGGAGAGCATCCTCAAGGCACTAGAGGAGGAGAGGTAACAGGCAGGGGGAGCAGTGGCATTGGTACCTCCGGCCATGCATTTCCATGGGAGGGGACCTGCCTGATGTGCAGCTCCCCATCCCCCGTGGCCCCTGTGCCCCCAAGTCCCTCGTGCCTCTCCAGTGCCATCAAGGGCTGGTTCAGCCCCTACCACAGGAAACGCCTGTTTGGGAACCCCCGTAACATGGAGAGCTTTGGCAGCAAGGTGCTGAAGTAGGTGGTGCTGGGCGCTGGGAGGAGTCTGCATGGGGCTGGGAGGGGTCTCTCGCAGGAGGGGTCTCTCGCAGGCTCCATGAGGACTGGGAGAGCTTTGTCCGTGACCTGCGTGCCCAGCTGGAGAGGATCTACTTCCCTGACACGGTGGAGGAGTGGATGGAGGAGAACGTCAACCCCTACCTGGACCAGCTGCGGGACCTGGTGCGGGACTACCGGGCCATCATCCGCCTCAACGGCCGGCCCAAGGCCACGTAGGGGCTGCAGCCCAGACCCCGCTGCCCCCTGCCTTTGGGGGCACCATCGTGTGTCTGTTTGCTGGTGACGGCGCTGCTGCCGCCGTCTGCACTGTACAGAGCCCCTGCACTCCCCCTCCGCAATAAAGTATTTTCGTAGATACTGCTGCTCGCTGGGGAGGGGGCACGGCTCTGCCTCCCGTGCGGGGAGAGGGAGGCTGGTGTGGATCCACCCTGTGACAGCTCCCGGGTGCCTGCTCAGTCTGGATGGAGCCGGAGGGGTTGGCAGACACAGGGCAGGGTGTGACAGAGCTGGTGGGGACACCCGTGCTGGCCTCAAGGGCGGCCGTGCCCTCCCTGCACAGGATCCAGCGTGTGGCTGCTGCGGGCTGCATGTCCCAGGCGAGGCTGGCACCCGGGACAGGGCAGGGACAGAGGGACATGCAGGGGCCCTGCCAGGCTCCCACCAGCACCACTCCCCAGCGCTGTGTCTGCTTTCTCTGTGTCTCCCTGGTCGCTGGGAGGGGTGTGAGCACAGCAGAGGCTTCTTCACCTCCAAACTCTGCCTTCATCTCTTCCTTCTCCTCTGTTATTCCAGCGCCCGGGCCCCGTGTGCTCCCAGGCCCCCCCGAGCCCGGGCAGGGGCCCTGCTGTGCTGCTTTCCCATCGGAAAGGCAGCTGTGCTGGGGGGATGCGTGGGGATCTCTGCGTGGGACGAGCCCTCCTGCTGCTGCTGCTGGCTCCGGTTCCCACAGTCAGATTTCCACGTGCCTGTTGCCCACAGTGCCCATCCCAAACCCGCCGTGCCCCAGGCTCTGCCCGTTCCGGGCGCTGGTTTCTCTCGGCGTGTTCAGGGCAGGAACGGGGACATTTCACTGCACATTCTTCTGCTCTGCAAAGACCAACCCGACTTGGCAAGAGCCCGAGGGAGCCGCAGGAACGCCAGGCTGGAGCTCCTCCCGCAAAGCCCGGCTCGGGCGGGGAGGAGGGACAGCGCTGGTGCCCCCCACGGCCCCACAGCGCGGTCCTGCTGGCCCGTGTCGTGCCCCGGTCACAGAGGTGCCGGTGCCCGGCGAGCCGCGGGGGCAGGAGCTGCCCCGTCCGTGTCGGTGCCGGTGACCGGGTGTGGGGGCCCAGCAGGAGGGAGCCGTGGGGCACAAAGGGAGCTTTGTTGAGGCGCTCCGGTCGCTCTCAGGTGGTGGCAGATGTGAAGGAAGCCCCCGAGCCATGCGGAGCCCCGGCCCCAGCCCCCAGCCCCGGGAGCCCGGCCGCGGCTCAGGGCCCCGTGCGGCGCCCGGCTGCGGGATTAGAGGGCAGATTAGACGGCGTTCCGTGCTGGCAACCCAAATGTCCTGGATTGGAAAGTGGGGGTGGGGAGAGGAGACGGACCCCGCCATCCCCGAGGGGGGGTCAGCCCTGAGATGGGGACCGGGAGGGAGCTGGGGGCTGTGCAAGCGACCCTTGGGCTCCAGCTCGGGGGGCACGGGCGGGGGGCATCGGGGGGCAGCTGCGTTCCCTCCTCCATCTTCCCGTCTGCCGCGGGGCTCACACGGGGCTGCAGCTCCCTGTCCCCGAGCCCTGCAGCCCCCGTGACCGCACCCCTCAGCGCCACTTTGGAGCAGCCTCCTGGCCCCGTGTGCCCCAGCGCCGGCTCGCTGGAGCCGGGACTGAACCAGGCTTTGAGCTAGGAACTTGTCCGGGAGGGCAGAAATTTGGGCTGATTTCGCGGGAATGATGTCCGTGTTCCGCCCTGGGGGCACCGCGGGGACATCAGCGCCTTGTCCATCACTGGCCCCATTTCCTATCGGGTTCCTCAGCTTCCTCAGCCCTCGGCACAGCCGGGAACCCTGCACAACTGTAATGTCTCGGTCATTTCAGCCTTAAAAGTGAAAGGGACGAATGTCACCGGCCATTGTGTCAACAAAAGTGGAAAATGACGCGGTAATGAGCGCTTTATTTACAGAAATAAAGGAGGCTGCTCCTGCCCCGTTTCCGTTATCGGCACCGCGGGACCGGGAGCGGCGAAGGGCAGCCTGGAGCCGGGCTGGGGAGCAGGGGGTGCCCCGGGAGGGGGTCTGCTGCACCCCCCCGGGATCCTCGCCGAGCAGCCGTGTTGCCCCCGTCCCCTCCGGCCGCTGAGACCCTCCAGCTCGTTACACGCCACGGCTGCGCGGCGTCTCCCACCGGGGCGTCCCCCGGGCCCGGCACCGGGGAGGGGGATCCCCGCGCTCCGCCCGCAGCACCGGGCGGCCCCCGCCCTCTCCTCCTCCTCCTCCTCCTCCTGCTGCTGCTCGTCCTCCTCCTCCTCCTCTTCCTCCTCTCCCGCCCCCCGCCCCTCGCCGCGCCGCGCCGCGGAGGATGCTCGGGCCGTGAGCCCGCAGCCGGCAGCCCCGGCGCGGCGCAGCCATGGGCAAGGACCAGGAGCTGGTGCAGGCGGTGAAGGCGGAGGACATCGCGGCCGTGCAGAAGCTGCTGCAGAGGCCCAAGCCCGGCAAAGCCAGTGAGTGCGGCGGCGGCGGGGCCGGGCGGGGGGCGGCGGTGCGGGGGGACACACGGAGGGGGGGCACGCACGGGCACCGGCGTCGCAGCAGCGGGCGCGGCGGCTCGGGGCCGCATCCTAGCGCTGCTCCCGGGGCCCGGCCGCGATGCCGCCCTGCCCGCCCCGGAGCATCCCCGGCCCTTCCCCGGCTGCGGCTCCTGGCAGGCGGGCGGGGACCGTAGACGTGCTGAGGACCCCCGGCGGCGCCCCGGGAGGGGCGGGGGGCGCTGCCCGGCGTGGGTCTGAGCATGCCGGCGGGGCTCGGAGCATCCCCGGGCGCTGCGCGGGTGCGGAGCGCTGCAAAGGGGCTGCTCGCCGGTCCCGGGGCACCCCCGGAGCGGTCGGGCTCCGGCCGGGCCGGCCTCGCCCCGTACCCGGGAGCAACTCCGAACCCCCCGGGAGCCGGGCCCGGTGCTCCCGAGGGTTTGGGCAGGGTTTGCGGCCGGGCGCGTCTGCGTGTGCGTGCAGCGAGTGTGCCCGGCCCGCGCCGGAGAGCGCCGGGGCTCGCTGCCCGCACACCTCTGCGTGTGTCCGCGCTGCCGCGGGTGCGTGTGCGGCTGTGTTTGGGTGCGTGGGGTGTTTGCGTGGCGGTGTGTACCCTGGCATCTGTGCGTTTGGCTGGGCTGTTGGTGTTCCTCGGTGAGGGGGTGTTTGGATGTCGCTCCGCGGGTATCTCCCGGTGCATCCCTGCGGCTGGCTGTGCTCGGCTCCGCGGGTGCGTGGCCAGGTGTGAGGCTGCGGGGGCGTGCGTGTGCCTGTGCGTGTGCGTCTCCGGGTGTACGTGTGTGTAGCTCCATGAGTATCTACTCGCTGTAGGATGTAACTGCTCCGTCGAGGCGTTCCGCCCGGGACTGAATAATTCATGGTGCTGATGCAGCCGCAGGTTTCAGGCCTGGTGCCGGGGACGAGCTGGGCGGCCGGGGACCGTCCCTGGGTATGGACAGGGAGCACGGGGAGCACTCGGGTGGCTCTGGGTCACTGGACACACGGTCCCTCCATTGCTGTGCCCACTGTCCCTCTCTGCAGGGCTGGCACTCCCCAGATGTGGGCACCCCTGGAGCTGTGCAGGACCGGTGAGGTGTCCCCTGTCCCTGGTCTTGCAGGGCTGTTTCTGGCCAAGCAGGGCCAGCGTGGTGCCCCATGTCCTGGTGCTGAGCAGGGTTGGCATGGCACTCCCCATGTCCCTGCTCTGGTGTTGCATCCACTGTGTCCACGGTGCCACATGAGGCCAGCATGTGTTTCCTTGTGCCATGCAGGGCTGGCGTGGTGTCCCCCATGTCCCCAGTGCCATCGTTGCTGTCACTGCTGAGGGACTGTGCAGGGCAAGAAGAACCTCCAGCTCAGAGCCTGCTTCATCCCAGCCCACCCCAGACACTGCTGCTGCCGTGGCCTCTTGGGGCAGTGTGTGGGCATGGGGACAACGCCTGGCCTGTGCCCAACATTGTCCCCACACACCCCTCTCCAGTCCCTGCTGGCCTGGGCACACATCTGGCGTTGCTGTGGCAACAACCAGAGGTGCTTGAGTGCCAGCACCTTCTCCTGCATCCCTGTCCTTCCCAGTGCTCTGCTGCATCTCCCAGGGCTGAGCCCTCTGGACACCAGCACGATGGCCACAGGGGCCAGCAGAGCTCCCTGTGCCAGGGTCACAGGTTAGGGACAAGGGACACCCAGTGGGGCTGAGCCTGCTGTTGGGGTGGACACTCACCCCATTCGCTTGCTGGGCTGCCCATCTCCAGCTCTGCTGGACCCACCAGTGCCAGTGCTGAGCTCGTCTGGGGCATTTCCCCACCGGACCCTACTCTCCCCTGGGGCAGAGGGTGCCACGTGTGCCGTGGGTGCCATGCTCCCAGCCTGGGGTGCTCAAGTACCTCTGGCCATGGCAGTGGGGCTGGAGTGGTGCCTGGAGTGTGAGAGCACCGAGCAGGGCTGTCCCCACGCCGTGGTGTCCCCACGTCCCCTCCGAGTTCCGGTCCCACGCACGCCTGCGGCGCTCCCCGCGCACCAGCGAGATTTGTAACTTAGCTCTGTTATCTGGATAATATCCTATTCATGTGGGGTTTAATAAACGAGATTTTAAAAATCCTTGTGTGAATTAGCGCGGGTTGCTATGGTGACAGGGGGCCCCGTTTGGTGTGAGTGTGGGTTCGGGCCCGGGCCGGCCGCAGCGCGCACCGCGCCTGCTTCCCGGGCATCCATAATTGATGAGGTTGTCTGAAAGTTGCGCAAATCAGATGCAGGGATTTGGCAGCGAACCGTTTCCCTCCCTGTCCCCTCCTTCTCGGTGCTACCTCGAAGAAATGTGGTGACTTGGCGTTTTCCCCTCGGCTCCAGCGCCGTGGGATGGGATGGGACCTTGGGGTGTCTCCGGGAGCACCCGTGCCCCCTGTGCCATCCCTGTCCTGGGCACCCGGGGCTTTGGGCGGTGGGAGATGAGCTGTGCCACGCTGTGCCATGCAGAGGATCCACAGTTCCGTGGCTGTGGAGGGTTGGAGCGGGCTGGCTCCTTCCCTGTGGGGCCGGTGCTGCCAGGGCTCATCCACGCTGGGAATGGCTCCTGTGCGGTGCTGCCGGTGCTGAGTGTGGGACCTCCAGCCAAGGGTCGGATCCTCTGCTCCGGTTTCTCCTCCTGCCAGGCTGGGGGGCTCTGTAAAGCACTTCCACACATGGCAGCTTCGTGTGGCCAAGGAGGTGTCCCAGCACGTGGCCCTGCAGTGCCAGGACAAGCACCCGGCATGGCAGGAACTGGCCGTGTGGGTGGAATCCAGGGCTGTGTCCTGTGGGACTGTGCTGCCCTCCCCATGCCTGGTCCTCAGTGCCATCCTGGTCCCCCAGGTTGCCATCAGGACTCGTGTCCTGGTGTGCTGTTGGTGTTGGGGCCACCTGGCGCTGGGTTAGCCACGCTGCCTGGCTGGGATCAGGGCTGGGCACAGAGCTCTGCATCCCCTGTGTCCTGCCATGTCAGGGTAGCCCTGGGTAAGCCAGCCCAGCCTGGCCCCACTACCCGGGGTGCTGGTGCTGAGGCCTGGGCAGCTCTCAGTGTGTCCCCACTCTGAGCAGGAGAGCCCTGCTCCTGCACTGCCACCTATGCCACCTGTGCAGGGCTCTGCATCCTGCCCTGCGTGTCACTGGCAGCAGCTCTGGCACCTCAGGCCTTGTCCCATCGGTCCCAGCCCTGCTGCCATGTGCAGGGAGCAGGTCCTGCCCTGCCTGGGAAGGACCCTCAAAGCTCAGCAAGGACCCCCAGGGTCCTGCTGTCCCTGGGGATCCTCCTGGGATGTGAGTGGAGCTGCACTGGCTGGGCGGGGATGTTCCTTCACCGGTGCTCCAGGATTTGGGGACAGTGGGAAGCAGAGCCAGAGCGCCTGGGGACATGGGCTCTGGGCAGGGCCTTGCCAGCTGCCTCCTGCCCTCTGGTGTGTCCTCCTGCACAGTGGCCAGTTAATTCTGGGTTTTCTTGCCTGCAGTTGATTGCATTCATAATCTGCTCTGATAACAGTATTTAATAAAACCGGGCTAATATGGCGCAGTTAGGAAATGTCTTTGACATTTTACAATTCAATTTCCATGCAGTAAAAGGCAGGGCAGATGCAAATCCAATTGTGGTGCAGTGCCCAGGGCACACGTGGCCGGCAGCTGCCAGAGCTGCCCGGTTCCCCCGGCCCTCTGGGAGAGCAGGAGCCTTCCCTGGGAGGCAGCCACCCACCCACCTCCTGCTGCTGCTCCCTGGACACTGGGCAGAACCTCCCTGCTGACAGAGAAACCCAGGCACAGATGAGCAGATGATGCTCACTGGAGTGCTGGAGCCCCTGGATGCTGCTGCCTCTGGAGCCATCCAGAGGTGCTGGGGAGGATATCTGAACTGGGGGAAGAACATCGGGACTGGGGGAAGCACATCTGGACTGGGGGAAGGATATCAGGACTGGGGGAAGCACATCTGGACTGGGGGAAGCACATCGGGACTGGGGAAAGGACATCGGGACTGGGGGAAGGCCATCGGGACTGGGGGAAGCACATCTGGACTGGGGGAAGAACATCGGGACTGGGGGAAGCATATCTGGACTGGGGGAAGGCCATCGGGACTGGGGGAAGAACATCTGGACTGGGGGAAGCACATCGGGACTGGGGGAAGCACATTGGGACTGGGGGAAGGGGCTGCAGGGCCAGATCCTGTGGCAGCTTGGCCAAAGAGGTGCTGGGCCCGTGCATCCCCCATGGCATGGCCAGGCACTGCTCCCACGCCTCCCCCCTAGCCCTTGGCAGGGATGGAGGGGCGGGATGCCAAGGGGATGGGCTGGGACGCGCGGGTGATGGCAGCACGGGGAGATGCCGGTGCATCCCAGGCGTGTCCCCGGCACGGGCTGTGCTCTGGGCTCTGCTGACAGGCAGGTTCCTCCTGTCAGGCCCCAGCGGCTCCGGCTGCTGCCCGACTCCTCCACGTGTCAGCGGGTCCCTCATAAACTTCTTGGGGTTTCCAGCCCGCGTGCGAAGCCTCGCTCCCGGCAGGGCTTGGCAGGCAGGCGAGAGCTGCTGTGTGCCAAGTTTCCTTCCAGGGGGGCACGACTGCTCAGCCCGGGGTGACTTCTCATTATTTCACATTTCTTGTCTCTGTGGCTGGGCCGAGCTGTGCGTGCAAACCCTCCCTGCCCCCCTGCCCCCAGCACAGCCCCCGTGCCCGGGCTGGCCGCAGGGTCCCTGCCTGGCAGGGGTGCTCTGGGGACCCGGGACACTTGGCCACTGCCATCGAGGAGCAGCGGGCCGCGGGCCGGCGGCTCCGTTCCCAGCTCCCTCACTGGCCTGGATTTCCTCTCAGCAGTCCCAAATTCACCTGGCTGGACACCAAGCAGCCCTTTGGCAGCCCCTCGTGCGGGAGGGGGGCTCTCCCACGGCTCTTTGCTGCACGAGGGCCTTGCTGCCCCTGTGCTGGGGGGACGTGGCAGGGCCAGGCTGCACCCAAGGGTGAC